ACACTAAAATTCTGAGAGATATATTCTGATGAGTTGATTAAAAAAAAAATAACGTCCCGACCAAGATCTTCGAAAAATTAGCTTTCAAAATGAAATCTTGAAAAATTGGGATTTTTAAAAATTGTCAAACAATTTTGGAAAATGTAGTTTAAGATTAAATTCGAAAAATACAATTATCAATGCTTGAGGACTAATATTTTCGACAATTGCGTTTGAAAAGTTTTTTTTAATTTTGAAAATTGTCATTTTTCATTTTATCGATTTTGTTAAAATTTTCGAAGAAATGAAGCTGAAAACAACTTCTACAAGTTTAAATCTACAAGAATGTCTTTAGGAATTTTTTTAAGAGTGCTTGAACGCCCAAAGAAATTTATACGCGCCATCATATTTCCCAAAATTTTTTAATAACTTATGAAAACTTTGTAAAAATTCTCATAAAATTTTGAAAAATATATTCCGATGAATTGATTAAAAAAAATAATGTCCCGACCAAGATCTTCGAAAAATGAGGTTTGAAAATGAAACCTTGAAAAATTGGGGTTTTTGAAAAGTTGCCAAAAATTTTTGGAAAATATAGTTTAAGGAGTTCACTCAAAAAACACAATTGTCAGTCCTTCAGGATCAAGATTTTCTGCAATTTGCTTTGAAAACTTTTTTCTTAATTTTTGAAAGTTGTCATTTTTCATTTTATCGATTTTGTCGAAATTTTCGAAGAAATGAAGCCGAAAATCATTTCTACAAGTCTAATCTGCAATAGTGTCTTTAGAAAATTTTTGAAGAGTGCTTGAAAGACCAAAAAATGTTTAGGCGCCATCATATTTTCCAGAATTTTTTGATAATTTGTTAAAAGTTGGTAAAAAATTGTCATAAAATTCTGAGAAATATATTCCGATGAATTGATTAAAAAAACATAATGTCCGACCAAGACCTTCGGAAAATGAGGTTTGAAAATGAAATCTTGAAAAATTCGTATTTTTGGAAAGTTGTCGAAATATTTTGGAAAATATAGCTTAAGGAGCTTTTCGACAATTCGGTTTGAATTTTTTTTTTTTTAATTTTGAAAATTGTCATTTCTTATTTCATCGATTTTGTTGAACTTTTCGAAGAAATGAAGCCAGCCGAAAATGACTTCTATAAGTTTCAATCCACAAAATGTCTTTGGAAAATTTGGTAAAAAATTTCAGAAAATTCTCACAACTATATTTTGACGGGCTGAATTTGGTTTGACAATGAAATTTTGAAAAATTGGGATTTTTGAAACGTTGGCAAAAAATCTTTAACGAGCTGATTCAAACAACAACACATTTTGTAGCATCTGGGGTAAGATTTTTCAAAAATTCGATTTGGATATGAGATTTTTTTTTTTTTTGAAAATAAACAACACGTTTTGACGCGTCTGGACCAAGATTTTCGAAAATTTGTTTTGAAAATAACTTTCGTTTTTATTTCGAAAATTGTCGTTTGTCATTTTCTCGATTCTTCAAAATTGCTAAGAATTTTTGACAAAATGAATCCGAAAATAACTTCTACAAGTCAAAATCTATAACAAAATGTTTTTTTTCAAAAATTCGATTTGGATATCAGATTTTTTAAATATTTGTTCCGTTTTATCGATTCCGGGAAAGTTATTGGAATTTTCGAAAAAATGTAGCCTAAAATAACTTCTACATGTTGACATCTACTAGAAAATGTCTTTGGGTAATTTTCAAAGAATGCTCGAAAGGCAACAAAAAATTCGTACACCCCATCGAATTTCCACAATTTTTTGAGAATTTTTGAAAAGTTGGTTAAAAATCTTCATTAAAATCCCGACAAATACATTTCTACGAGCTAATTCTAAAATAATTACGTATTGATGGCCCCGGACCAAGATTTTCGAAAAATGAGGTTCGAAAACGAAACCTTGGATTTTTGAAAAGTTGACAAAAAATCTGAAAAATACACTTTAACGAACTGATTCAAAAAACATGTTTTGACGCGTCTGGACAAATTTTTTCAAAAATTTGTTTTGAAAATAAACAACACGTTTTGACGCGTCTGGACCAAGATTTTTGAAAATTTGTTTTGAAAATAACTTTCGTTCTTATTTCGAAAATTGTCGTTTGTCATTTTCTCGATTCTCCAAAATTGCTAAGAATTTTCGAGGAAATGATCCGAAAATAACTTCTACAAGTCAAAATCTATAACAAAATGTTTTTTTTTCAAAAATTCGATTTGGATATGAGCTTTTTTAAATATTTCTTCCATTTTATCGATTCTGGGAAAGTTATTGGAATTTTCGAAAAAATGTAGCCTAAAATAACTTCTACATGTTGACATCTACTAGAAAATGTGTTTGGGTAATTTTCAAAGAATGCTCGAAAGGCGACAAAAATTTCGTACACCCCATCGAATTTCCACAATTTTTTGAGAATTTTTGAAAAGTCGGTTAAAAATCTTCATAAAAATTCCGAGAAATACATTTCTACGAGCTAATTCTAAAATAATTACGTATTGATGGCCCCGGATCAAGATTTTCGAAAAATGAGGTTCGAAAACGAAACCTTGGATTTTTGAAAAGTTGACAAAAAATCTGAAAAATACACTTTAACGAACTGATTCAAAAAACATGTTTTGACGCGTCTGGACAAATTTTTTCAAAAATTTGTTTTGAAAATAAACAACACGTTTTGACGCGTCTGGACCAAGATTTTTGAAAATTTGTTTTGAAAATAACTTTCGTTCTTATTTCGAAAATTGTCGTTTGTCATTTTCTAGATTCTCCAAAATTGCTAAGAATTTTCGAGGAAATGATCCGAAAATAACTTCTACAAGTCAAAATCTATAACAAAATGTTTTTTTTTTCAAAAATTCGATTTGGATATGAGCTTTTTTAAATATTTCTTCCATTTTATCGATTCTGGGAAAGTTATTGGAATTTTCGAAAAAATGTAGCCTAAAATAACTTCTACATGTTGACATCTACTAGAAAATGTGTTTGGGTAATTTTCAAAGAATGCTCGAAAGGCGACAAAAATTTCGTACACCCCATCGAATTTCCACAATTTTTTGAGAATTTTTGTAAAGTCGGTTAAAAATCTTCATAAAAATTCCGAGAAATACATTTCTACGAGCTAATTCTAAAATAATTACGTATTGATGGCCCCGGATCAAGATTTTCGAAAAATGAGGTTCGAAAACGAAACCTTGGATTTTTGAAAAGTTGACAAAAAATCTGAAAAATACACTTTAACGAACTGATTCAAAAAACATGTTTTGACGCGTCTGGACAAATTTTTTCAAAAATTTGTTTTGAAAATAAACAACACGTTTTGACGCGTCTGGACCAAGATTTTCGAAAATTTGTTTTGAAAATAACTTTCGTTCTTATTTGGAAAATTGTCGTTTGTCATTTTCTCGATTCTCCAAAATTGCTAAGAATTTTCGAGGAAATGATCCGAAAATAACTTCTACAAGTCAAAATCTATAACAAAATGTTTTTTTTTCAAAAATTCGATTTGGATATGAGCTTTTTTAAATATTTCTTCCATTTTATCGATTCTGGGAAAGTTATTGGAATTTTCGAAAAAATGTAGCCTAAAATAACTTCTACATGTTGACATCTACTAGAAAATGTGTTTGGGTAATTTTCAAAGAATGCTCGAAAGGCGACAAAAATTTCGTACACCCCATCGAATTTCCACAATTTTTTGAGAATTTTTGAAAAGTCGGTTAAAAATCTTCATAAAAATTCCGAGAAATACATTTCTACGAGCTGATTCTAAAATAATTACGTAATGATGGCCCCGGACCAAGATTTTCGGAAAATTCAATTTGAAAATGGAATTTTGAAAAGCTTAGATTTTTTAAAAGTTGACAAAAAATCTGAAAAATACACTTTAACGAACTGATTCAAAAAACAACATATTTTGATGCGTCTGGACTAAGATTTTCGAAAATTTGTTTTGAAAATAATTTCCTTTTTAATTTCGAAAATTGTCATTTTTCATTTTCTCGATTCTGCAAAACTGTTAGAATTTTCGGGAAAATGAATCCGAAAATAACTTCTGCAAATCAAAATCTACAAGGAAATGTATTTTTTTTTCAAAAATTCGATTTGGATATGATTTTTTTTTAATATCTCTCCCATTTTATCGGTTCTAGAAAAATTATTGGAATTTAAAAAAAAAACTCCTACATGTTGAAATCTACTAGAAAATGTCTGGGTAAATTTCGAAGGATGCACGAAAGGCGATGAATATTTTGAGGATTTTTGAAAAATTGGTTAAAAATCCTCATACAATTCTGAGAAATAGCTAATTTGAAAAAAATACGTGTATTTATTGCCGGATCAAGATTTTCGAAAAGTTCGGTTTGAAATTGACATTTCGAAAAATTGAGATATTTGAAAATTTGCCAAAAAATTCTGGAAAATACATTTCAATAAACTCATTCGAAAATCAACACGGACCAAGATTATAAAATATTATAATTATTATAATTATGATTTATATATATTGCGATTTTTTTGAACCCTTCCATTGCCAAAAAATTTCAAGAAAATTGGGATAACGTGGCAACGTCGCATTGGAATTTGAAAAGTGAATTGTGGACATAAAGCCTAAGGTCAATCAAAATATGTAAAAATATATAGGGTGTTTCATAAAAAAAAAAACAAGTTGTGTGTTACGTCTTAAAACCAGAACACTGTATTTATTAGTTATATTAATAATTATTATTGGCACTAAAATGATTTACAATTTTTTTCACCCCAACAGCATTAACATCAAAAGCATCAAACTAGAACTATTTTTTAAATTTTTAATTCCTTTGTTATGATTTTCTTATCTCCGTTTTATTTTTTTTTTATTATATCTTTTTTAGGTCTGAATGGTTTCCTCTTTTCTTCTATCTCATCTCAAAATTTTGCTTTTGCTTCTTCCTCTTTGAAAACCATTCAACTTTCGTGTTCTTGTCCTTGGCGCTTTCAATAAATTTAACTCTCGGTTACTTTGTTCCAGATTATGGTGTAACCCCCACCATGCCCAAATCCTGGACGCCCCGTCGCTCCCCTTTCTCCCTCTCCTCCCAGTCCCGCAAGACCCGGATGAAACCCACCATGCCATAAACTCCACCATGTCCACCACCGACACGTACGCCTTCCAGAACGACACCCCCTTCAACCTCAGCCTCGACTCCTGCCTCAATGACGAAGAAAAGTACCTCCAGCTCTACCGCTTCTTCACCAACGGCCTCCTCCTCAACATCATCGGCATCCTGGGCATCCTCGGCAACATCATCTCCATGATCATCTTGTCCAGGCCGCAGATGAGGTCCAGCATCAACTACCTCCTCATCGGCCTGGCCAGAATCGACACGGTCCTGATCCTCACGAGCATCCTGCTCTTCGGCCTGCCCGGGATCTACCCCTACAGCGGACTCCTCTTCACCTACTACTACGTGGTGTACCCGCACATCGCCCCTGTGGTCTTCCCTCTGGCCATGGTGGTGCAGACCGCGTCGGTGTACTTGACTTTGACAGTGTCCTTGGAACGGTTCGTGGCCGTGTGCCACCCTTTGAGGGCCAGGTCGCTGTGCACGTACGGAAGGGCCAGGATGTACGTGGTGGGGATCATCGTGTTCTCGGCGGTGTACAATCTACCGAAGCTGTGGGAGTCGACGATCAAGGAGGAGTGGTATCCGGAGAAGAATGTGACGGTGTACTGTCCGAGGGCGTCGGCGCTTAGGGAGAATGAGTTGTACATAAGGGTGTACATTCATTGGCTGTACCTTATTTTTCTGTACCTGCTGCCCTTCATGGGGCTTGCTATACTCAACGCGGCCATTTATAGACAGGTAAAAATTCTTTGCTGAGCCCAATTTCCCGTTTCCGGTTGTGTGTCGGTCTGTCTGTCTGTCTGCCGTCTGTCCGGATTTTTATTAGACAGATAATTTTCGAAACTACTGAACCGATTATTGTCAAATTTTGTATGTACTATTAAGACTAAGACTAGGTACCATTTAGATGATAAAACACCAACCAAAAATTGGTTATTCATTCCCACCAACAATTTGGTGACGTCATCTCCAAAATTTTCAATAGTAAATTTGTTTCTGTTTTTATAAAACTAGATATTGCTGCATTTGTGGTGTATGAATCCATGCTGAGTTTTCACCCTACACATACAAATTTTTGGATTTGCAATTTTGCATTTTGTAATTTTTTGATATTAGAATTTTTCATTTTCCGGTTTTCCGATTTCTCAATTTTTAATTTTTAGACTTTTCAATTTTTCAATTTCTTGATTTTGATTTTTCATGTCATTTTCTTGATTTTATGTCACAATTTTTCATTTTTCGATTTTGTGATTTTTGGTTTATTCAATTTTTCAAATTTTCAATTTTTGATTTTTCAATTCCTCGATTTTCCAATTTTTAAATTTTTCAGTTTTACAATTTTTGGATTTCTTTAGTTTTCAATATTTCAATTTTTACGTTTCTCACTGTTTTGATTTTCCAATTTTTCGTTTCTTCAGTTTTTCAGGTTCTTCATTTTCATTTCATATTTTGTCCGTTTTTCATTTTTGATTTTTCCGTTATTTTTTGCAGTTTTTCCTTTTTTTGATTTGAAAAGAGAAAAATGGAGAAATTGTGAAAAATCGAAAATTTATAAATGGAAAAACTAAAAAATCGAAAAAAATAAAAAAATCGAAAAACTGAAAAAACGGAACATTGTAAAATCGAAAAAGTGGATAAATCAAAAAGTGCAAATTGCAGAACTGAAGAACTGAAAAATTGAAACATTGAAAACTTGAATTCTAGAAATTTAAAAATTGAAAAAAATTAATGAATCGAAAATTGGAAAGAAGGAAAAGCGAATAAAATCGAAAAATTGGAAAGCCCAAAAATTGTAAAATCGAAAAATTATAGAATCGTCAAAATTGTTAAGTCGAAAGATCCAGAAATTAAAAAATTAAAAAGCGAAAAATGGAAAATTCGAATAAATGAAAAAGTTTTAAAATACAATAATTCAAAAATAGAAAAGTTTTATATCGTAAAATTTAAAAAGTAAAAAAAAATTGTAGTTATAATTACCAATAGATACATATTTAAAGATGAAAACTAGAAAAATTGCAAATCAAAAATCGAGGAAATTAAGAACGGAAAAATCTAAAATTGAAAAAAAAATCTAAAAATCCAACGGTTGAAAATCGAAAAATTGAAAAATCTCAAAATCGAAAAATTTCACACCAGCGGAAAACTGAAAAATTTTAAAATGAAAACTTGAAGAGTTACATTTTGAAAAATTGAAGAATCGAAAAACTTGAAAATTGAAAAAAATTAATGAATCGAAAATTGGAAAGAAGGAAAAACAAATCAAATCGAAAAATTGGAAAGCCCAAAAATTGTAAAATCGAAGAATTATAGAATCGTCAAAATTGTTAAGTCGAAAGATCCAAAATTTGATAAATATCCAGAAATTGAAAAATTAAAAAGCGAAAAATTGAAAATTCGAATAAATGAAAAAGTTTTAAAATACAATAATTCAAAAATGGAAAAATTCTAAAATCGTAAAATTTAAAAAGTAAAAAAATTGTAATTATAATTACCAATAGATACATATTTAAAAATGAAAACTAGAAAAATTGCGAATCAAAAATCGAGGAAATTAAGAACTGAAAAATCTAAAATTGAAAAAAAATTAAAATCCAACGGTTGAAAATCGAAAATTGAAAACCGAAAAATTGTAAATCGAAAAACTGAAAAATGTGAAAATCGAAAAATTTCATAACATCGGAAAACTGAAAAATTATAAAATGAAAACTTGAAGAGTTACATTTTAAAAAATTGAAGAATCGAAAAACTTAAAAATTGAAAAAAATGAATGAATTGAAAATTGGGAAGAAGGAAAAACAAATCAAATCGAAAAATTGGAAACAGCAAAAATTGTAAAATCGAAAAATTATAGAATCGTCAAAATTGTTAAGTCGAAAGATCCAAAATTTGGTAAATATAAAGAAATTGAAAAATTAAAAAGAGAAAAATTGAAAATTCGAATAAATGAAAAAGTTTTAAAATCCAATAATTAAAAAATAGAAAAATTCTGAAATCGCAAATTGAAAAAATGAAAAATTTTTAAAATTAAAATTATTTAAAATAAAAACTAGAAAAATTGCAAATCAAAAATTTATTTAAATGAAAGTTATTAAAGAAACTAAAAACTGAAAAGTCGACAAATAGAAATATCTAAAATTAAAAAAAAACAAAAAAGGAAAACCGCAAGATTGCAAGTTGAAAATTTGAAAAATCCAAAAATTGAAAAATTTCACATCAAAAAAAGAACATTGAAAAATCGAAAAATTTAACAAATAAGAAAATAAAAACCAAAACGAAAATTTGCAAATTGGAAAATCGAAAAAATGAGAAATTAAAAAATTTAGAAATTGAAACATGCAAAATTTGGAAAATCTCAGTTCTGAAAAATTTAAATATGGAAACTCAATGAGGCATATGTTAAAATTGAAGAAACAAAAAAAAAATTAAAATTAAAAAATTGAAAATCAAAAAATTTATGAAACGAAAAATTGAAAAAACTGAAACTGAAAAAACAAAAAATTATAAATTCGGAACATTGAAGAGGCGAAAAATTAAAAAAAAACGAGTATAAAAAAATCTAAATGGTGAAAAATAAAAAAAATTGCAAACCTAAAGGCTGCAAATTGAAAAATTGAAAAATCCAAAAATTTAAACATTTCACATTAAAAATAGAATATTGAAAAACCGAAAAATTGAATAAATAAAGAAAACAAAAAACCGAAACTCGAGAAAAATTGCAAAATCAGAGAAATGAAACGTCCAAAATTTGGAAAATCGGAAAACTGAAAAATTTATCGATGGATAAATACAAAAAAATGGAAAATTTAAAATTATTTAAAAACTGGAAACTCGAAGATGGGGGTATCGGAAAATTGAAGGAACAAAAACAAGGAAAACTGAAAAATTACATGTGGAAAAATTGATGAAACGTAAAAATGGAAAATACTGAAACCAATAAAACAAAAATTATAAAATCGGAACACTGAAAAATCGAAAAATTGTAAAAATTTAAAATTAAAAAAAAAACAGTAATTAAAAAAAAAAGCAAAAAATTGAAAACCGAAAGATTGCAAGTTGAAAAATTGAAAAATCCAAACACTGAAAAATGTCGTATTGAAAAAAAAGGACATTGAAAAACCGAATCCAAAAATTGCGAACTGAAGAAACGAAGAACTGAAAAAAATTAAAGTTGAATAAACTAAGAAAATAAAAAACCGAAACGAAAAATTGGAAAATCTAAAATTGAAACATCCAAAATTTGCAAATTCCGTAAACTGAACAATTTAAAGATGGAAACTCAATCTTCAAATTGAAGACCTAAAAAAAAATGAAAAATTGAAAAATTGCAAATCGAAAATTTAAAGAAATGAAAAATCAAAGAATCGAAAAAATAAAAAATTGAAAATCAAGAAACTTTAAAAAAATTAATGAACGGAAAAATTGTAAAACCCAAAAATTATAATATCGAAAAATCAGATTTGCCAAAATTGTAAATTCGAAGATCTGTAATATTGAAACATCGAAAAATTGAAAAACCGATTAGATGAAAAAGTGTTAAAATCGAATAGTTGAAAAATGGCACGATTCTAAAATCATAAAATTGAAAAAGTGAAAAACTTTTAAAAATTGGGTTTGGTAAAAAAATGAAAACTAGAAAAATTGTCTAAACTTAAACAAAAACTAAAAATTTGAAATCTGAAAAATCCAAAAATTGAAAAATTTCACATTGTTGAAAGAACATTGAAAACCCAAAAGTTGAATAAATAAAAAAAAAACGAAACGAAAAATTGAAACAATGAAAAATTGAAAAGCAAAAAACTGAAAACTCGTACAATTTCAAATCGAAAAATTGCAAAATCTAAAAATTTAAACATCCAAAATTTGGAAAATCGGAAAACTGAAATTAAAAAAAAATTATAAAATCCAAAAATTCTAAAAATATAGAAAATAAAAAACCGAAACCAAAAATTACAAATCAAAAATTTGAAGAAATGTAAAATCAAAGAATCAGAAAATTAAAAAATGAAAACTGAAAACTCCAGAAATTTTTATCTAAAAATTGCAAAATCTAAAAATTGAGAAATTTAAAAGTCGTTAAATCGAAAAACTGAAAAGTTGAAGGAATAAAAAAAATTTTTAATTTAAGAATTTATCAGAAGGCAAAAATCGCAAAAAATTATTATAATTTTTCAAACTAACCTTCTATCAATTGTTTCTAAATTGTTTAGGACATGAAGGTGAGATTCCTTGAAAAAGTTGGGAAGACTCCGAAGGACGTCTTCAGGTGTTGTACTTGAAAGTCATGGACAGCGAACCCGAAGAGCATAAGTTAGAGGGTTGTGATACGATCTGTCCTTTAAGCAACTTTATACGGATCACGGAACCTCATGTTCTTGTTAATTATACCAGGAATGTCATGCGCGTGTTAATGTGGATTAGGGTGGAAAAAGCGACTTGGGGTTAAAAGCTGGCGGGATGAAGGATGATGCGTGTCATAAAACGCTATTTAAGGACGATTTGGGGAAATGTTGGAATAGTTTTTGAAGGGTTATGCTACGTGATGTTTTTCCAAAAATCCTACACTACATTTTAGGTAATTATCGCCCGATTTATAAATCAGAGGCCCCTCGAGACACCTCCCCTCGCCGTATTTGGGGCTTTAGACCGTAATGCGTTTTAAAAGGTTCCAGGATGGCAATCTGCCGCCCAATTACATAAAGTTGAAGTAACAAATTGGATGAAAGTCTGAAAGAATTCCT